TCTACTCTCCAGAGGAAGCCAACCCTAGTTATACATGGTAAAATAGAGATTTAGGAATGCAAATTTATAAATAACACAAGGAGAAAATGTAAATTGTGGAGAAGGAGAGTGTGTCTAGCAGAGTGGAGAAGTGAATAGGAGGACATGGGAGAGTGTGGAGTCCCCACAGGCTGAGCAACCTGGGAGGTAAATGGAAGAACAGTAATTTTTTTTTTTTTTTTTTTAAGATTTTACTTATTTATTTGACAGAGTGAGAGAGCACAAGCAGGGGGAGCAGGAGAGAGAGAGGGAGAAGCAGGCTCCCCTCCGAGTAGGGAGCCTGATGCGGGGCTCAATTCCAGGACCCTGGGATCATGACCTGAGCCGAAGGCAGATGCTCAACCGACTGAGCCATCCAGACGCCCCAAGAACAGTAATTTTTGTGAGAGCTTCTTGAATTGTTTTTCCCACAATGCGCTTGCTCTCACTTCTCACCATTAACATGTATGTAATAATGGCCGAAGGTCTCAGGAAGGCTTTTCTGTATAAGTGGATTCTTTTTTTTCCCCCCCCAAGATTTTATTTATTTATTTATTTGACAGAGATCACAAGTAGGGAGAGAGGCAGGCAGAGAGAAAGGAAGGGAAGCAGGCTCCCCATTGAACAGAGAGCCCGGCGCGGGCCTCGATCCCAGGACCTTGAGATCATGACCTGAGCCGAAGGCAGAGATTTAACCCACTGAGCCGCCCAGGTGCCCTGTATAAGTGAATTCTTTTGGGGATATTAGAATTCTAAGTGCGACTGATTTTTCTGCCTGCGTTGATTTTAGGCAAAGTCAATTTTTAGGAGGAGGCTTGCATGGAAAACAGAAGAGATTCTGTAGCATGAAGCAGTGGCCATTAGTAAAAGTATAGGGAAAACTTGGTATTTTTAAAGACTGTGGGATCTCAGGGGTCCAAGCTAAGAAATCCAGCATTGAACCAGGACCAGATTGTTCCTGCATTACTTGTCGACGTGGGAGCTGTTTCCAAGAACATGCTTGGCAGGGTGAGTGGAAGATGGGGAAATACAGGGAGCCCCAGAGAGTAGTGGCAGGTCCTGTTCACATGCCAGGGACATGTTGGCTCAGATGGAAAGTGAAGGGAGGGAGGACTCAGGCCCACCTGTTTTGTCCTCTTCCCTGTGTCGAGGAGCCCTGTGAGACTGTCCCGTCTTCTCTGATTAGGGCCTGGAGTTCTGTGTGGAGCCTACATTCTCCAGGTTTGACTGCTGAGAAGTGGTAGTGTGCTTAGATTATAGAAATATTTTTTGGTTTTGCTTTTAATAATTAATGCTCTTCGTTGAACCGAAGCTGGACTCTGTGCAGCCTTGATTAATCTCTTGGTTCCCGTGTGAGGAGCACCTCTTTCTTCTATGGTCCCACCACCTAGAAAGGAATAAATTTTTATCATTGTTTGTTTAAACCTCCCAGAAAAATGAGGTAAGGGAGCTGTAGATTGAGCCCTGGCGTTGAATGGACTTTGCCTGTTCCTCTTCACTTGACTAGATCAGTAACTTTGTGTTTGTTTGTTTTAAAGGGTTTTTATTTATGTATTTGAGAGAGAGTGAGAGAGCAGAGGGGGTGCGGAGGTACAGGCAGACTCCCTACTGAGAGCAGAGCCCTATGCGGGGTTCCATGCGGGGTTCCACCAGGAGCTCAGTCTCAGGACCCTGAGTTCAGGATCTGAGCCAAAGTCAGTCTCTCTCTCTCTCTCTCTTTTTTTTTTTTTTTTTTTAAGATTTTATTTATTTATTTGACAGAGAGAGATCACAAGTAGGCAGAGAGGCAGGCAGAGAGAAAGAGAGAGGAGGAAGCAGGCCCTCTGCCAAGCAGAGAGCCCGATGCTGGGGCTCGATCCCAGGACCCTGAGATCATGACCTGAGCCGAAGGCAGAGGCTTAACCCACTGAGCCACCCAGGAGCCCCAAAGTCAGTCTCTTAACTAAACCAGCTACCCAGGCGCCCCTATATCATTCACATTTATATGCAGATGTACCTTGCTATGGGCACTCGCAGGTTAGAATAGAAGAACATTATCCTTGAGAGACAAAAATTGGACAGAAGGGGCACCTGGGTGGCTCAGTGGGTTGGACTTCTGCCTTCGGTTCAGATCATGATCTCAGGGTCCTGGGATCGAGCCCCGCATCAGGCTCTCTGCTCAGCGGGGAGCCTGCTTCCCCGTCTCTCTCTTCCTGCCTCTGCCTACTTGTGATCTCTGTCAAATAAGTAAAATCTTTTTTTAAAAAAATTTGGACAGTACATCGTTCAGCATGATGATTAGGACTTGTATCTAAACTCCCAGTCCATCTGTGTTGCAGTGGAGAAATCCTGCAGTGTTTCAGGGACCCTGGCGGACATCATGAAGTGAGGGCAGGGCACCTGCTGGAGGCAAGAGGGCCACGATTCTTACACATCGGTTAGCCTCCCATGTCTGGGTCTCTGGACCAAGTCTTTGTGATTCAGCTGATCAGAATGCCAGGAGGAGCCTGTGAAGGCCCGTGATCACACACGAAAGACGTAGTTTACAGATAAGATTCCGGAGTGTGAGTCCTGTATATGACTTGGTATTTGAATAAAATGGGTGTTTTCAGGTTTACATTTAGATTATGATTTACCGACTTGTAGTTCCAGACATTTATTTCACAGCACTTGTTCTGTGGTCACCTGACACCAGGGTTTGAGGAACTGTGGGCACCTGACACCAGGGTGACCTATGACAGGTTCATACACTTGCATTTCCTCGGTCCTGTATGTCAGATCCCTCCACTGTAAGATTAATACTTTTTCTCATTTATCATCATGTACCTCGGGAGCACTTACTAAAAGATGTGTATAAATCATCTCATTTACTCTGGAAACTCCCTTCCCTGTTTCACTTTGTTTGTAGCCTGCTTTGGAAACTGAAGGCTCTCTCCTGTGTTTACTGGAGATGGCAGTGTTTGAAGGGGAGATGGTCAGTCAGTCACAGATAGACTCTCGCTTCTCACTTCTCTCTGGCTCTAGAAGAAGAAAACCTGCATCGTATACATTCCACTGTCTTAAATTCTGAAGTATAACTTGGCGGAAAGGTAAATGAGTCAAAAACTTGATGCAGTAGGAATCTCAGAAATAATAGGTATTTCAGGTATCTCAGATTTTGTTTGTTTCTTGGTGTGTTTGTCTATCAAAAAACCTTTTTCCACAAATAAATTTATAAGTTTTATGCCACTGAAGATGTTTCTTAGTTTCTTAGTTATCTATCACTTCTATTGTTAGTTTAATTATCTATCACTTCTATTCTTTTTTATTTAATTTGTTATTTCTGTGTTTTATGGTCACATATCTTTTAGTTGATATGTTCAGTGGTTTATTTTACTGTATTTTAAAGATTTTATTTATTTATTTATTTGAAAGAGAGAGAGATCACAAGTAGGCAGAGAGACAGGCAGAGAGAGAGGGGAAGCAGGCTCCCCGCTGAGCAGGGAGCCTGATGCGTGGCTCGATCCCAGGACCCTGAGATCATGACTGGAGCCGAAGGCAGAGGCTTAACCCACTGAGCCACCCAGGCACACCAGTGTTCAGTGGTTTAATCCTGTTTGCATTCCCATTGTCACTTTGAAACCTACTGTGAACTTTTCTTTTAGAGTTGCCTCTGTATACCGTTCTCTGTGTTCCTTTTACACAAATTCAGCATCATACAGTCTGGGGTAAAACTCAGGCTCTCCTATTACGGAAGTTGGGCCAAGATTTTTCTTTGAAAGGTGAGGAATAATTCTACTGTTCTCATAGCTTAGTGTGGATTCATGGGTGAGTTTATGAAACAGTGTTGGAATGTTATGGAGTAGATAGCATATGTTCAAGAAGATTGTTGTTTCTGCTCTTGGCATTAGAAGTTGTAATTGCCACAATATTCTTTACATTCAAAATCATTAAGGATTTCCTCTAGGTTTTTTTTGTTTGTTTGTTTTTGTTTTAATTTAATAGTTTGGCTATTGAAGTAAGATGTTGGCATCACTTGCTAACTTGTGGGAAATATGGAAACTCAGAGCCCACCTAGAAGTCCAAATCAGAATACGAATTTTAACAAGATCTTCAGTTCATTGTCATGCGCTTTAACACAGGAAGTAGACCTCTAGCTCACCCTCTACCTTTCCATTGTTCTATCCCTGTCGTTATGTCTACAGTACATTATGTTGACAACTATGTCTTTGCAGTGTGTTTTAAATCAGGAAATACGGTGCCACCAATAAACCCTTCCTTTTCAAGACTGTTCTGGGTATGTGTTATCCTGTAACATCCGTAGGAATGTTAAGAGGGGTTTTGTTCCTTTGCCAAAAATGGCACTTGGATTTTGCTAGAGATTGCATTACTTCCGATGTTAGGATCTGTATTTTATGTATTTCTGTTTTTTCTTTGTTATTTCCTTCCTCAGTTAAATATCAATTATGTTTCTTCTTTTTCTAGTTCATTGTGGTGTAATGTTAAGTTGCTTATTTGAATTTTATAGCATAAGAAAATTAAAAGTGGAGTGTCTACAAGGGAAAATTAGCAGAAATAAACAATGTAAGTGATGACCAAAAAATGAAATAGTGTAAAAAGCGAAAATAAGAATTCTTTAGGGTTTTCTATTGATCATGTCATCTGTGAACGGCGATAGTTTTTCTTTTTTCTTTCTTTTTTTTTGTTTTTTTAAGATTTTATTTATGTATTTGACAGAGAGAGACAGTGAGAGAGAGAACACAAGCGGGGGGAGTGGGAGAGGGAGAAGCAGGCTTCCCGATGAGTAGGGAGCCCAATGCAGGGCTTTATCCCAGAACCCTGGGATCATGACCTGAGCCGAAGGCAGATGCTTAGTGACTGAGCCCCCAGGTGCCCCTCATTTTCTTTTCAATAGGATTTCTTTTATGTATTTTTTCTCTCCTAATTGTTCTGACTAGAATATCTAATACTGTGTTGATTGGAAGTGGTGAAGTCTCTTTATTACCTTTTTTCTGATTATAAAGGAGACGTTTTCAATCTTTTACTATTAATAAATATGTTAGATTTCTGCTTTTTGTACATATATGGCCTTTATTTGGTAGGGGTAGTTCTTTTTATTTCTACCATTGAGTGTTTTTAATCATGAAATGGTGTCCAGTATGCTCACGTTCTTGTTCTACATGAATTAATATGATCATATTTGATCTTCATTCTATTGATGTATAATCTTAAATTTATAGATTTCAGTATGTTGAAACACACTTGAATTCCAGGGAGAATTCTCACTTGATTATGTTGTAAGGTAGTAGAAGGTGCTTCTAATTCCCTCTGCTTCCTTTTACCGTGGCGTTTACATGACTGTTCTTGAAGGTAGCGGCTGGTACTCTGCTTATAGTATCTTCCCTGGCTCTGCAAATGTGGCAGTGCTAGCGTCACAGAGAGTGTCGGATAATTTCCCTTCTCTTCGCCTCTTGGGAATGATCTCATTACATGTTCCTTTGAATTATCCAGTGAATTCATCTGGCACAGGACTTCTCTTGGTTGGGCGTTTCTTTTATTTTTCAATCCTACTCAGTAGTGGTAGATGAGGGTTTTTCGTTTTGTTTTGTTTTGTTTTAAATTCATGATGGAGTCAGGTAGGTGATACGTTTTCTGAAATTTATACACCTTGTTTGGTTATCTATCTCTGGGCATGTAATTATCCATCATCACCTCTTACAATTTTTTTATTTGTATGGTATCAGTTATACTGTGTCTGCTTTCACTTCTTCAGTTCTGATTTTAGTTGGTCTTCTCTCTTTCATTCTTACTTGATTTAGTTAAAAGTATGTCAATGCTGTTGCTCTTTCCTGAAAACCAGTTCTTCCTATTGTTGATATTTTTCTGTTTTTGCTATATCTTATTTGTATTTTAAATTTAAATTTTCTCCCTGCTGCTAATTTTAGGCTCAAATGGTACTTTTCCTGATTTTTTTAGGTATGGGAAAGTGCTGTGTCCTCTAGCATGACAAGACTACAGAACTATCTTTTAGGCTATGTCACGGGTACATTGTCTGCAAGTTTATGTCTCCTTGGAGGAGTGAAGTTCTGATGATTCCTTCTCAGCCATCTTGCTGACGTTCTCTGATTGATTTTATTTTTCCGTATTAGAAGTTTTCATTATATTCATCTGAGAGTAGTAAGTGGAATGATTTTACTTTTCTCTTATTCGATATCTTTCAGCTGTATCTTCACATGGTACCCAGAGTTTCCTGCCAAAGCTGTGCATAGAAGCTTCTTTCCAAAACGTGGCAGTGGGTAGATATAAACATGGTGCCCTTGAGGATTTACCCTTAATGATAGACTGGAAAAATGATGGGGAGAGTAAAGGGCATCAAAGATATCATGAAGGACATATCCAAACTGAGACAACTGTCCGTAATATGAATCTGACTGCCCAAAATGGTGAAGGATATGAAACACCTTAGAAAACATCTCTTCTTAATCCTGCTTCTGCAAAGCAGTGTCTTTCTGTAAGCAAGGGCTCAGATCAAGTGCTCAAACATACATATCTGGAGAATGAAAAGTTGGAAAATCTGGAAAGTTACCTAGTCCCTGCTAAAAGTAATTATTTGAACCATTTTGAAAGTAGGATTGGATTGACACTTGAGTCAAATATTTCTGAAAATCAGAGATTTAAAACCGAAAAACAAACTACTATGTGGGATCCATTTGAAAGATCCTTCACCGAGCAGCTGACCCTCCAGAATTACCAGAACATATTCGATGAAAACGGAATTGTTCAATACAGTGAATCTGAGAGAAAATGTAACCTGGGTTCAAATATTAATATATGTCTGAGGACTCATTTTCCAAAGAATCGTTGCAACTTTGATAAATTTGAGGAAGTCCTTTTTCAAATCTCCAACCTTATTTTATATGAGTATGCCTATGGGACAGAATCCTTATAAATACAATGAATTTGGGAAATCTGTTAACCAGTCCTCCAGTGTTGGTGATTATCAGAGAATTCACATGGAAAAGAACTCATACAGGTGTAATAAACCTGGGAACATGTTTATTCAAGCCTCGGGACTAAATATACATAATACAGTCGGCACTGGACAGGAAAGTTACATTTGTGAGGAATGTGGCAAAGCCTTCGACTGGCACTCAACACTATCTCAACATCAGCCAATGCATATTGGAGAGAAACCTTACCAGTGTGGACAATGTGGCAAGGCCTTTAACCAGAACTCAATGCTTACTCAACATCAAAGAATTCATACTGGAGAGAAACCTTACAAATGCAAAGAATGTGGCCAGGCCTTTAACCATCACTCAAGCCTTACTCAACATCACAGAATTCACAGTGGTGAAAAAACTTACATATGTAAAGAATGTGGCAAAGCCTTTAACCTAAACTCAAATCTTACTCAACTTCATAGAATTCATACTGAAGAGAAACCTTACACATGTAAAGAATGTGGAAAGGCCTTTAATTGGCACTCATACCTTGTTCGACATCACAGAATTCATACTGGAGAGAGACCTTTTGTGTGCAAAGAATGTGGAAAGGCCTTTAACCAACACTCAAAGCTTACTGAACATCACAGAATTCATACTGGAGAGAGATCTTTCGTATGCAAAGATTGTGGAAAGGCCTTTAACCAGCACTCACATCTGACTCAGCATTACAGAATTCATACTGGAGAGAGACCTTACATATGTAAGGAATGTGGCCACGCTTTTATCCAGCACTCACACCTGTGTCAACATCACAGAACTCATACTTGAGGTCAGAAACCTTACCCAAGTAAAGAATGTGAGAAGGCCTTTCATCACTGTTCAACCTTTACTCATTACAACGGAATTCACAGTGGAGCCAACATTACAAATGTAAAGAACGTGAGAAAACGTTTAAGGATGACTCACTCCTTACTCCACATCAGAGAATTCATATTGGAGAGGAACCGTGAAATTGTTAAGAATGTGGCAAGGCCTTTAAGCAATGTTAAAGCCCGATTCCTCATCAGAAAATGTATGTTGCAGTGGATTTTGCAAATATAAAGAATTTGGCATGGTCTTTAATAAGAGGTCAAGCCTCATTCAACATCTCAGAATTCACACTGAGGAAAAAGTTATAAATGTAAAGAACATGGGCAAACTTTTAAGCTGCTCCACCCTTTTCTGTATCTCAGAGTTTATACTGAGGAGAAAGATTACAATACAAGTGGTATGTCAAGCCTCTAGCCAGAACTCACAGTCTACTCAGTTATCATGCAGGATAGAATCTGTGAAATGCAAACAAAGTTGCCATGCCTTTAACTGGAATTCAATCTATACTCCGTATCCCCGAATGCATCCTATCAAACCCTTGATACATCATGACTGAGGAAAGACCTTCAATTTATTTTATTTTTTTATATTGTCTATATATTTCTTTTTTAAATCATTTTTGAAATTTATTTTCAGCATAACAGTATTCATTGTTTTTGTACCACACCTAGTGCTCCATATAATCCGTGCCCTCTCTAATACCCACCACCTGGTTCCCCCAACCTCCCACATCCCCACCCCTTCAAACCCTTCAGATTGTTTTTCAGAGTCCATAGTCTCTCATTGTTCACCTCCCCTTCCAATTTCCCCCAACTCCCTTCCCCTAACACCCCATGTCCTCCATGCTGTTTGTTATGTTCCACAAATAAGTGAAACCATATGATAATTGACTCTCTCTGCTTGACTTATTTCACTCAGCATAATCTCT